CAAATTGTGAGACACTAAGAAGCGCTGTAGCTACTGCTGAGCTTCCACTTCCCTTATCAGCGCTAGCAGCAACCGCCAGCTCCAGGGGTGATTATGTATAGAGATATCGTTGATATCCTAGGGTCGGCGTGTTTGCGATTTTCCTGTGTAACCGATCCATGGAGCGTTGGAAGAAGCCGCCCACGGCACTACTCTGGGGGATAAGTTTTGAAACATTCTGAATGGATTGAAGGACGTCCCCAGTATGGTCTCCAAACAGGTACAATGTGTCATGATAAGAGGACATAATGAATGCCTTCCTAATCACTTGAAGATTGACGTAACGAGTCAAGAATTGGGTTGCGTATAACACAGCACTAACGTTCTAAGGTGGTGGCATGCTCATTCACTTATAGTCCGAGATTCCTCACATTAGGTGCAGAAGGAACGACTTAGATTCACCTATTTGGAAGAATCTCTCGCGGAGAAGTGGAGATTGATCTATTGGAAGGAATTGACCAGTGCTTTCACCAGAAGCGATCAGATAGTAGTGTATTCAGATGATCTAAGGTCTAAGTTCTAAGCTGTACAATAGTGTAGAAAACAGACCTATATATACTAGGGATCACCCGGTCTATAGTTCCACCGATCCCTCTACATACTAGGTCTATTAGACCCACCTCTCCGTGACAGAATCGGTCCTGCCTAAGTTGCTACTGATTTAAGACAGGGTAAGCTGGACTTGTTTCCTCGAGCAAGATAGGAATAAGTACACCGCTCCTTCCGCGCGAATTATCAAATCTACTTCCAAGCACTATACATCTCATCTTGTGAGTGAGTGAATAAGCAACGACTTTGGCTATTCTAGTGTTGGACACATCTCCGTCCAAGTTCGCCAGATATGATTAAAGATGATGAATGGGGGTTTGGAAAAAAATTGGATGCATTATCAGTTCAGCTCTATGCGCGACTCAGCTCAGTCCTAAAGGGGCTAGGCGTGTGACGATTGCAACATTCGTTAGGGTCCCGCGAAGTAACATTTCTCCACCAGCCGGCCTATGGGCAAGTCTTAACAAGACGACAGTCTTAGAATGTAATTAATCATTTGGCACCGTAGATGGGAACTTTATTTTTCTTTTGGGCCTATTGCTCGGACCCTGGAGGCTTCACATTCTTAAATGAACTGACTTTCTATCACAAGGTATTATTAAACTTTACTAATTGCGTTCCAAACTAATTGAAAACTAATTGACAAAATGTTGTCATTCTTTAATGTGATTTTCCGTAGTAATTGCGAACCACCGTCTGCAAAACTACCTACTTAACCCCTCGACCCACCTCCCCCAACCCCCAATCTTGGTCTAGGCACCGATCTCGCCGTTGTTCTGGCCGTTGTTCTGGCCGTTGAACCGAATCAAATTGTGATCGGGCTTCTAGTCGGGCTTCATTCTACTAGTCTAGCTATAGCTAGCCAGGCCCATTATCTCTTTCGAAGAAGAATCGCCAAAAAGGGTAGATCCTTCACCGATCCGGTAATACTACAGCACCTATACGTAAGTAACCTAGATAGTCCACTAGTCATCTCATCTGCCGAGTCTTCAATATTGGCACTGGCACTAAATTCTTGTGAGATGCATCAAGTCTGGCAGTATGCATGCGATATATCCAAGCTCTAAAATTAATCTTACAAAGAGAGAAAGAAAACAATGCTAATTGCTTAGGCCAAGAGGCTATTCAGGGGTAAGCACAATCTTGATAAGAGATGCTAGACGTTGCCTCTAACACTCAGAGTCTCTAGGGCTTGAAAATCGTTGACGAGATATCTGGCTGAAAGGCGTTTTTGATACTGAAAGGAAAGCATTGGCTTAATCGTGCCGAGTAGCCATGTGGATACGCTTCCCGCTCCAACATCCTTCTAGTTGAAGATCTCAGTGCTGTTGTCGGGAGCAGGACGGGGCGGGAACGCCGTCGCCAGCTCGATGTCACTATTCAAATTCCAGAGTCAGTCATAGCCGTAACGATTAATAATCTTGTCCTTCAGGAAACATACTTGTAGGTTCTTAGCAGGTCCGTAAGGCTAATGGGGACGTCAGGCTTTTTCCAGCCGATGGAATAGGGGAGTTCTTCCCTTGCTATTGCGTAGGTTGGCATGTCAGCTTGTTTATATCGTCTACTAGGGTCGAATTGAAGGCTTTTCTTACTGAACAAAAAGTCGGCGAATTTCTTGGGGCAGGTCTGCGTGACTTTATCTCCGAGGATGGAGAGAATAGCAGCATTTTCTGCTACGCTGAATTGGTAGCCCACCTCAGACAGCGAGTACGCTGGATCCGTAAGGTTCGAGCGCATATGACGCTGAGCGCGGCTATTCGCGACCATTTGAACATCCAGCACGTCGCCAGTGTAATATTGCATGGTCCAGTTCCAGACGGTTTGGTTGAACCTGCTCCACTGACCAAAGTAGGCGTCTTGTCGGCTAAAGATGATGCTCATTAATCAAGGTTTTATACAACACACTAGGTGGCTTAGCATACCTCAGACTTCCGTCGTGCTCGAATAGGTCGTGGCGATCTAGATGGTCAAGATCGAACGTCGTCGCATTGGGCTTAGGATTCGATAGACGACCTGCGGTGAAGAGAAATCGGCCGAAATCACGGTCCAAGTTCAAAGCTTCATTCAAAGCGTTGACTGTCTGGTTCTCATTAATATTTCTGCCGTTGCGAGGCAAAAAGCCGTGATTCGAGAGGGCGTTAAGCATGGGGCAAACACCACGAGCTAGCAATTGCAAAAGTCAGAATTCTCCGCCCATATTTAAAACCATACAATACAGAAATTCCTTTTCACATACTGTCGGTTGGCTCCTCTGGCTTGAAAGTGCCATATGGACAAGTGGCGCCCAAGACGACAGCGGGAAATAGGAGACTGGTGAACTTCATCCTGATTAGAAAGCTTGGTCTACACTTGAAAATTCCAGTGAATGGTGATCCTCGGGAGTATTGATTGAATGGCGACTCTTGGAGATGTTGACTGCTTTATGGCTCTTGAAACCTTGAGAGTAACATTGGCGGATTCCCTGAATTTTTATACTCCCAACCTCACGTTTCTCTCCCATGTTGAGAGAGTCGGAGCCCCAATGTACCCTGGGTGAGCAATAGAACCCGGAGCGAGACCCGGAGCAGTGTGTGTGGTTGCATGATTTCGAGCGCTGTGAAGACAAAACACGTGGGGCTGAATTTGGAATATTCTTGTGGTCTCTGGTCGAGAGAGATACTAGCAACATGCTCCGTTGAGGCTATGGGGGAGTAGGACGCGGGAATCGGCTGTGTAGGCGAAACCCGCTTTTGTGCCGGTCTGCTAAGCCAGCGTGAATGAGAACTCCTTGCAATTTCTTGAATACCCTTGGCTTGGATAGTCGAAATTGCTATGCAGAGGATAATAGGTGCTACACATATGGACTCTAGGCAACGGTTAAAACTTAGTCTAGCATCAAAACAATGGGGATCTTCGCTCCGCGGTACCCGTGCTACCCGTGGCCAGCCCCAGCTCGGTTTCCCGGGTCCAATTAGAAACTGTGTTTATGTCATCGATCCTCGCAATATGCGTCTGGTATCTGCAATATTGCATTAGATGGAGTGCCGCAATTCGCTCGTCTAGAGCAGATCAAGAAAATTGACGTAGATGTGGCTTGGTATTTACTTTAGGATGAGACCTACCTATTGAGGCTACTCGCTTCGAGGACCGGCCAATAGCTGTTCGTTCAATCATAGAACCAATAGTATAATTGGGCCATATGGAGTTTACTCTATCAGGAACGTTTCGTGTGATACAGTCGAATACCAATTAACCCGGGTTTCGATAGATATCGTCCGTAATATCACGGAACCGATCCTTGATAGAAGCACTGGGAGTCTGGGTAACAATACCTGAGCGTCTCTCTGAGAGGATTAATCAGCACGATCAGCCCTCAATTGCTGCTACCGGCCCTCTTGTGATGGAATTCACATCAAATCCCGGTTTACGCCTCGGGGTAATTCCGTCATGAGCGGGTTGATTAACTGTCCGCTTCTATAAGTCGGTGAACCACGTAGAATGTGGAGTGAAGTGCTATTTCTCACCCTCCTTTTTTCTTGGTGTTCTAGGTGTTTTAGGTGTACGAACCGACCAATCAATGCTTTGGTTTACCAGCTTATTTACATACAGTGGTAGGTATTTCTGTTGGAACCATTCCATAATAGCCGCGGGGTCTACTGTATGTAGTTGATGGCAGCTAAGCATGGTAGCTAAGCGTACCTACTGTACGGTACCGAAATACGGGCTGACCTATTCTTGATGTTAATTGGCTGACAGAATCTCTTAAACTGTTGCCTGGGAGCATATAATGTGAAATGCCACATGTGTGCAAGGATATTTGACAAGCCTTATTCCTCTAGTCTTCTCTAGTTTAGTGTACGAGCATATAGGTTTTGTCTAATGTGAAGAGGGCTAGATATGCGCATTTCGCAATGGTGGCCGTGATTCGGACTGGCTGCTGCGGTCGAGCATCTTGTTCTTCCCGAAGTTTACGCGATGCGGTATACCCAGATAGGAATAGGTTATGACGCCATGAGACGGGAAAGGCGCGGGCATTTGACGGCGGATCTCGCTAAACTTCTGGAGGACTCTATCTACATAGGTACCGTAGTACTATTACAGAGTGTACAGAGTAGTATACTATAGCTGAATTTAGCCATGGATACCAGGTGCTGAGCCACACTTGACACGCAACAAAATTCAGAAAGGGGGTGTCCCAAAGCCCCCCTATAAGTGGAGATTTCAAAACGCATCTCGAGGGGCTAAGCCTTATAGCTGACTAGCACCTTCTGTTTTATCTTGTCTCGGTATTCAGTGGAAGCCTCTAATTCTCAATAAAATATCAACCAGACGGCACGAAAGTCTGCACGTCCCCGTATGCGACCCTATGATTAATATTAGGTAGGTAGGCTCTAACTATATATGGAAATACACTCATTCTCGCAATCGGCAAACCTAGAGTGGTGTAGTGGCAGCATATCCTGTGGCAAACATACCACGAAAGGTGGTATGGGGGGAAGACTCGGGCTCGATTCCCGGCTCTAGGCTTTTTACATGTACGCTAGACAGTGCTGCATGGTTTTTTTCGGGGTTTTTTTTTCAGTAAAACAAACCTAGTCAGGTACCTTTGGCGTATTCAAAATATCTCGCTTCACAGTCCTGGGCCCCACAATACATGACTAGGTCTGTTTTGCTCCCTACATTAGTATAAGGTACTTACCGTACTAGGTAAGAATTTGTACGTGATATCTGTACACATGCACTCGCTACCTACATTTATCTATCTACAAACCATCGCGTCGTCATTTGTGGCTTGTAGTCTGGATGGCTGTCTGAATTGATGGCGATACCCAGCTTCAGCTCCTTTTGTAGATAATGAAACGTGTTCTTGTTTGTCTACATAGTCCGCCTGCGTAGTCCACATATATGATACGATACAGCTGTCTACCTACCCAGAGGTAGCTAGCGACGACCACGCGGGTGGTTCGATAACTTTCAATTCTTTTTTCTTCCCCCGCCAGCCATAGATTGGTATTTGTTTATTTAGGTATTTGTATCTTATCGAGTCGCATCGCTAGCTCAAAGCCCGACACACCACGACTGTACTATTTATTATCCTATAGGTTTCTCCTCCGCCGTGTAGAGAGGGCTCGTCTACGATGGCGCCCGTAGATACCGCGCTACGGAAGAAGGTGCTGAGGGTTATCTTTGTGTCCTTATTATTGGATCTGGTAAGCAAGCGCCTTTTCCGAAGCCGTCGAGAGTGTAGCTTGTATGCTAATCATGTGGCGCACCGTTGCTTTCGTAGATCTCCTTCACTTTTATTCTACCACTATTCCCAAAGCTCCTTGAATTCTACCGCAATAGCGAAGCCGGCCCGGGCTCACGAACCACCGTCCTCGCTCGCATCCTCGACGGCTTAAATGCCTACAAATCCTCCTTCTCCCGGCCGATCGACTCGAGATACGACATCGTCCTTCTAGGAGGCGCCCTCGGCAGTCTTTTCTCCCTTTTGCAGGCGATTGCGTCTCCTGTCATCGGACACCTTTCTGACAAATACGGACGGCGAACTGCGCTCCTCGCCAGCATGGCTGGAAATATCTTATCTGTACTTCTTTGGGTGATGGCTGTCGACTTTAGGACCTTCTTAGCATCGCGCATTGTTGGTGGATTATCCGAGGGTAACGTGCAGTTGGCGACGGCCATTGCAACCGATATTTCAGACGAGAAGAGCCGCGGTTCAACCATGGCTCTGATCGGCGCATGCTTCTCTATCGCATTTACATTCGGACCCGCCCTCGGTGCCTACCTGAGCTCAATTGGAACAGTCGCAGCAAATCCCTTTGCAACCGCCGCTGCCGTATCTCTGTCGCTCATTGTTACCGAGACCCTATATTTATATTTTACTCTTCCGGAAACGCTCCCGTTGAAAACAGAGGAAAAGGGCGCATCTAAATCAGCCGCTAAGCCCGCACCGGTAACTCGAACGAATTCTCATACTCTCCTCAACGCAGTGCACTTCCTGTTCTTGCTCTTTTTCTCCGGCATGGAATTTTCGCTACCATTCATGACCTACGATCTCTTCCAATACACGTCCGCTAAGAACGGACGCCTGCTTGGTTATATCGGTCTTGTAGCATCGATTCTACAAGGAGGGGTAACACGTCGCTTATCACCGCTATTGACGGTGCGTATAGGCGTGGGCGCTTGCTTAGTCGCCTTCGCGATTCTCAGGAGTACATCTACGGTTCGCTCTCTATATCTAGCCGCGACATGCCTAGCGACCACGTCGGCTACAGTTGTCAGCGGCTTGAACGCACTCGCTAGCTTTGAGGCGGGTGCCAATGAGCGTGGTGGGAAGCTAGGAATCTTAAGAAGCTGGGGTCAATTAGGACGGGGCTTAGGGCCGGTCCTATTCACCAGTGTGTATTGGTGGGCTGGGAGAGAGCTGGCCTATACGTTAGGCGCTGTAGGGCTTTCCGTCGTATCAATATTGGTCTTCGCGGGGCTCAAGGCGCCCCCTGGCTCTGTGAAGAAGAGGACGCCGTCGGAGAAAAAAGAGTTGTAAAATGGAAAACCGGCTCCCATTGGATGTATTAAAACTTGGTATATTAGGACTAGTTATATAAAAATAAATTAATCTATGACTTAGACCGTATCGCGAACATGTAGAATTGAAGCCACAATAGACTTGGAAAAGCCGATAGATATTCGGATCGGGTGAACTAAACATATGCTAAGGGAGCCAGTTGCCTCCTAAGTGATTCCCTTCGTAGCTCGTTTATTTATCGTAAGCAGTTATTGCTAACACTCAATATGTTCGTGCTGCTAAGTAGGTACTAGAGAAATACTTCAAGGCACGTTATTTAGAAAGATTGGTGTTTTTGAACAGTTGATGACCGGGATAGCTAACCTAGATTCAGTCTACCGAAGGACACTTCAGGGGTGGCGTTCGGCTCAATATGTAAACGCTACGTGTTGAGATTACGTGAATATTTTTCTTTTACAACATAAACAAGAAATGAGACAACACTATCTATCAGTTTTATTTACGAATACATTGAAGTGTGCGCGCGCGTGTATGTAGAGATACCATAGCTACGATATCGAACGGTAAGGGCCGAATCATCGCCTCGGGTAGCCACAATTAGACATGGATCCGGAATACTGAACTTTGGATAACATCCCATGTCCTTAACGATAATAGCAACTGCGCTAGTCTTTTTCTCCTCCAACTAATCGATCGAAAGCCCACAAGCGGCCCTTACACTGACTATGTTCAGTTTCATAGGACCCCTGGACTTCTGGGTCGACCCGCGGCAACACCACCCAGGATCGCTACTAATGTTCCAAAGAAACGGACAGCGGAAACCAATCTTGAAAGGGGAATAGCTGCTTATAAGGAAAACCTAGATGATGTTATCAGTCCCGATGCTTCGAGGATGACGCCCCCCCAAGCTGTAATGTGGTGCGCGGGCGGATCAACAAGCTTCTCGATTCCGGTATCATGAGAGGGATGGAATCCGTCATGGCTAGCAGAGTTATTAAAAAAAGCTTACGTCGCTAAGTAGATTCCTACGGACTTCCGGCCAGATGAGCGGCAGAAGCTCAAAGCAGACGCCGCTAAAGCCGGGGCCGAGGCGGGATCTGGCGTCGTTGGTTAGCGGGAAACCAAGCTCTATAAGCGAAGACTGATATTAGGGTATCCACCCTGCCCAGCGGGGAAAACGGACAGCATCTCGGTGTACGACAGCTGCTATTAGAATATACGTTATAGGGGTAAAGAGAATACTTCTTGTTGCGCAACGAGCCTAACACTACCTAGTTCAATGATCTTAATCGAAGTAGCTGGCCGATTTCCACGCTATGAAGGGCACGAGGATGGGCACCAGGTCCTCGGTAGCAGTGCCGTTATCAACTTCGGAAAATACGTATGTAGAGGTGTTCTAGTAAGGGCCTGACTTGAAATGGTAATTTGTATAGTGGCCTGTAGCCATATACCCTCTTCTAGCTAGCTAATTTATTCATTAGTTCGTTAGATAGGCCTCTTTTGATTCAGATCATTGCACGCATTTAGTCTATTTGAGTGAGTTCCCTTTCTGCCGTATTTTACCAAAACTAATAAAAGAAAACCTAATTCAAAAACTTAGTTTTGTTGGAAATGTTAGCCTGGCTGTCCATTACAGAAGCCACGTGGACGGTCTAATGTCTCGGCCTAGTGGATTTGCCCTTATATATACTGTTAAGCTTTCACTGGAATCATCGAAATCTCTTCACAAATTTCACACCAGTACTTTCAACCACACACCTTCCGACTACCTTATATATATCTATTGAGCCTACAGAGGTCTGACCCTGATATTGCGGAAATAAAAAGAAGATACAGTTCCTTGGTAGCTATTCCTTTTGTCAGGTGCTGATTGCCATTTCATCGTCCCTAACATTATACGACTACAGAAAAAAGAAACGTTTAATATATCGGAACAAAGATCTCGTCTGTATGTATTGCCAGGCTCTTTGCGCAACGATGCGTGTTTATAATATACCCCAGCCTTTGACAGCTAATTTTCAACACTAGGCAGAAGCGCTAATACCTACTCGTAAGATGGATCTTCTTGACTGGTTCTACAGATTTATAAGTTTTTTTGGTGTGCGCAACAAGCAGGCAAAAATCCTTATCCTCGGACTAAACAAGACTGGAAAATCGACATTACTGAAGCAAATGGCTTATTATAGACCAGGTCTCCGACCTAACCTATATCCTACATCGGAAGAGCTAGTGGTAGATAATGTTCGGTTCGTGGCAATCGATGTTGGCGAGCAGATCTGGAGCGAGTACCTCTATGACGTTGCTGGAATCATATTTCTGGTTGATACAACGGATTATATGCGATTCGATAAAGTTGAAGCTGAGCTTAATGTTCTGCTAGCCATGAAGGAGACACAGGCAATTCCGATAGTGGTGTTAGGAAATAAGATCGACCGTCTGGAAGCTGTTTCAGAGGAAGAACCGCGCTACGAGCTCGGCTTAGAGCACATCTATGATCGGCCTATTGCACTGTATATGTGCTCCCTTGCTTCCAGACAGGGTTACGGGGAGGCATTGCGATTCCTTGAAGGCCATATTTAGTTGGGGAGCGAGGGGGGAGAAATGGGGACGATCAATTGAAGCGGTATTGGCTAATAATCCTAAGAGTGGAATGAAGGCCAAGTTCGGCCATGTCTCTAACCGGTATGACTCTACTTATGAAATTCGGACCTTGGCCGGAGTGAACTATTTGGGCATCGACGAATCGTGTACTGCTAAAAAATCTGGTTTTGCAGGCAAATCAATCAAAACTTTGCCTAGCATCAGATATGAGTAACTCACTATCCAGTGATATTTATTTATCTAGTGACAAGGTTGCAAAATTAGTTACTACTAGTATTTTTTTATTTTAAACATTTCTAAATATCTTTATAAAGAAATTAAACATGAATAAATAAAATATACCATTTTAAAGCCCTTTTTAAAAAGAATTTAATAGTATCACTTTTATTAGTTAAA